AGTTCCTGCGCGTTTCGCTTGAAAAAGCCTTCTCACGTTTCGCATTACATTTATCATGTTTCGGTTCGTTATTTTCATTTCCTTCTTCGAGTCTCGTGGAGCTAGATTGGAATTCCTTCTATTGGGTCCCAAATCCTGACTGCTTCCAGGAAATGGAAGAAAGAAAGATTCTCCTTCCGAAGAATGGAAACCTAGGAAAAGAGTACCGACAGGTCCTTCTCCCAATCCCTATTTAAATATCCCATTTCATTTTCGCCCCATAAAGTCAGACAAGAACTGGAAGTTGAAGGATGCACTTCACAACGACTCGAATAAACCAGTGGGGTAACCAAGGTCGTAGAGGACGGGATTCGAACCCGGCACGCCGCCCGTCAGTGACTTTAACCAACGCGCCACTGACGCGATGGCTCCATCCGACCTCCTCAGAGGCGCTACTTAAAGCGATCGCCTTCCAGTCATCCGCGATGCCCGAATCCAGTTCCGTTCAACTCGACGCGTTGACAGCGCCATCTGGTATCGCGGTCAGTCTCTTTTGCTCTCGGCCGATGCGGAATTGGCTTAGATCGATCTTTCGTCGGATCGGAGCGGGGAATGCCGAAAACTCAGACGGTGAGAACGTGATTCGGCGTTTCTTTGCATCATCTCGCGATCATCAGGAAGGGCGAGACTGACTCATCGAAACGACGAACATCCTAGCGTTCCCCATCGGTTTTCAATAGTGTTCTCACGTTCGGACGGTAAGACGGCGTGGTTTAACCGTTGGGCAAGCGGGTCAAAGACGGCTTAACCGGCTTTCATCGGGATTCCACCGTCATGAATGCAAGGACGGTCTCAAGGAAGGAACATCATCATATATATATGTACCGTATTTGTTAATCCTGTAAGTACCGGATTTGCAGATCTGCAAAATTCGGGAACGACCTCAACGAGCTACTTGGAAAGTTCATTTTCGCATTCACCCGATGCTAAGGAGCTGCAAAAAGTCTCACACTTTTCTTGTTGAGCAGAGCTGCCCCCTTCAATACGATGTAGAAGGCTGTGTCCGAACCCCAAGGAAGGAAAATATTGTAACAAGAATTCCAAATACTGCACAGAAGGACTTATCCCAGACAGCAGATGTTATTGTTCCTTGCAACAACATTTGTAGAAATAAATTGGAGCCATCACGACTGAAATCATTAAGGGAAAATGAAGAGACGAGAATTCATCGAGGCCCCAGGCTGCTTCATAAGAGAAAAAGTCAATAGCGTGAAGACATGCCCTCTTCACGTAACAAATCGACGAGGAAAGTGCTTAAGGTGCCACTTCGATTAAATCCCGGGCGCGGGGCGGGCCGAAATTGGGGTGAGAGGTCTGCTTGGCTTCGATTCGTCTTCTTCCAGTCGTTCATCGTGCATGATTTCACTTGGAGACGCTCAGCCGGAGCTCCTTCGAGGACAGAGGCGTGCGAGGTCTCGACTGCAGAATCTCGACTGACAGGGCTGGAGTCTTTACGAATGCCACAGCTCTCCTTACCGCCTCTTCTCCTCACCTCCCATAGGAGCTGTATGAAGCGATCCCTTTCTTCCAGTCATTCGTTATGAATTCATTTCCAGACCACTCGTGCTTCTGACAGTGCCATCTGGTAAGACGAGGAGGCAAGACTTATTGAACGCCCCTCGTGCTTTACAAATGAACTATAAAAACGTAAAAGAAACATGTGCCAGTAAGATTCGGAGTAAAGAAGATAAGAGACAGGATCCGAACACAGAATCTCGACTGACAGGGCTGGAGTCTTTACGAACGCCACGGCTCTCCTCACCTCCTCTCCTCCTCTCCTCCCTTAGGAGCTGAATGAAGCGATCCCTTCTTCCAGTCATTCGTCATATCCGAATTCGCTTCCAGTTCACTTGGGCCTCTGACAGTGCCATGTGGTATCCCGGCCAGTCGTTTATCTTCTTTTTTCTTGTTTGACAGTGGTCGTCTCGGAATTGAAATCAACCAAATCCTGAATGCATCTAGCGATGTCCGTGAAAATCGACTGACTAAAAAACACTCAATAACTTGAAGTACTTCCGCTTGAGAAAGTATTCGAAAATCATGTTTTTCTCCATAGTTTGAAGGAATTTCAAGCAACTATAAAAATATTTTTTCCCTCGTCAAAATTCAGTTTTTCTCATAATCGATCTGTACTTTTACCTCCGAAAGAGGCTGAAACGAGAGAATTCTAAAAACCCAATTTAAATTAGAATGCAAGTTAAAATTGAACAACGAATCACAAGAGTATCGTGCATCGTTTTCCCTATTTCAGTCAGTTGAAGCTGTTACTTTCCAGGCGTCATGCCTCATGCCTTCAAAAGGAAATTCATCACCTATCCGAAATAGGATCTATTAACGGGGAGATTTAGAGACCCATTATCAGCAATTAATCACTTTTAACTTTCTTGCTGTAATAACTGTACGACGTTAACGTTAGAGAATCGACAGCCTAGGATGAAGCAATTTTGACAAAAGGAAGAAAAAAAATACAAAGAAACCTGTAGAGCAAGGAAGAGTTGTTGTCAATAAAAAGAAATGTAATAGATTTATCTCAGTCCAATTAACCAATTCATCGATCGATTAATCGTATTTAATCAGCCCTTAGTTTCACAATCAGTTTCACAATTGAAAGTGGCGAATGAAAGATGAAGGCCTTCCAACATAGGTTCCTCGCTTCATTTAGCACAATTACGACAGTGATGTACCTCATCGTTTGCCCATATTAAAAAAAATAACAAACAAATGGACGAATGCAAAAGCGAGTGCCTCCTCTTTGGTGCGGCGGCTGTTAGGGATCTCAACCACGTGGGCCAAAATGTTCAATTTATAGATTCCATTCAAGGATATACATTACAAGGGACTATTACAAAGAAAAAGGAACAAAGGTCACAGCTGGAATAAACTGTCACAGCTGGAATCTATAGAAAAGTTGGCAATGATGTTCCATGGTCGTCCTCCTGCCTTAGGAGCGATCGTCTGCCTCCAGTCATCTTCCCTACCCGTATCCACTTCCAGTCCACTCGGGTCTCTGACTATGGAAATACTCTGAAAATAGTCTTGAAGGCGTTCATCAAAATTGTTATTCGTTCAATTGAGAAACTTGACGTGCGATCGCTTTCCAGGCTGCTCATTCCCTTTCCGGAGCGAGCAGCTAACCGGCAGTTAGTTGTTACCTCAGGGAAAGAGTTTTAAAACAATTTCAAGAAGTTATCACGAACAGACTGGGGTATACAATCAAGGAGAGGGCAAAGTATCATGTCTGTTCATAAGTCATTCGCTTCTCTGTAGTAGCCGAATTCAGTGGGAATAACTACATTAAGTGTAATAAATATGTTCTTTGTCTAAGATATAATATGCAGAAAACGGAAGAAATCATATCAAATTTAAGCCCAGATTCCATTTCTCATGAACAAGTACATTATTTTCCTTAGGAGAAAGCAAAGATGACGGAGGAGACAAGACTTATTTATCCCCACCTCGTACTAATCAAAGAACTATGAAAACGATAAAGAAACATAGGTGCCAGACAGATTCGGAGTAAAGAAGATGGGTGACGGGATCCGAACGCAGAATCTCGACTGGCAGGGCTGGAGCCTTCACGAACGCCACGGCTCTCCTCACCTCCTCTCCTCCCATAGGAGCTGTATGAAGCGATCCCCTTCTTCCGGTCATTCGTCATATCCGAATTCACTTACGGTCCACTCGGACCTCTAACAGCGCCATCTGGTATCCCGGCCAGTCGTTACTCATCTCTTCTCTTGTTTCACAGTGGTCGTCTCGGTATTGAGTTCAACACAGATCTGAGAGAATCTATCGATGTCTGGGAAATTCAATTGACAAAAAGAGACTCAATAACTTGAAGTACTTCCACATGGAAAAGAATTCCAAAATCAAACTTTTCTCCATAGGACATTCGACCAACAATTAAAATAATAATTTCCCCCCTCGAAATTCGGGATTAATTACAATCAACATCTATCTTTGCCTTCAATATAAGTTGAAATGAGTAAAATAATTTTAAAAAGATTAGAATTCAAGTTAAAATTTAAAACCGAGTAACAAGGATATCGCATATTGCGTCACGTGATTCAGTCAAATAAACATGCTACTTTCCAGGCGTCATGCCTCATGCCTTCAAAAGGAAATTCATCACCTATTCGAAATAGGATCTATTAACGGGGAGATTTAGAGACCTATTATCAGCAATTAAGCACTTTTAACTTTCTTGCTGTTAAAATTATACGACGTTAATGTAGGAGAATCGACAGCCTTGGATGAAGCAATTTTGGCAAAAAGGAAGAAAAAAAAATATAAAAACCTGTAGAACCTGGAAGAGTGGTTGATGTCAATTAAAAATTGTAATAGTCTAATTAACCAATTTAACGACCGATTAATCGTATTTAATCAGCTCTTAGTTATTAGTTTCACACTGAAAGTGGCGAATGAAAAATGATGAAGGCTTTATAAACGCAGGTTTCTCGCTTCCTTTTGCACAATTTCGACGGTGCTGTTTCTGATCGTCTGCCCAAATTCCAAAATAGCAAAAAAATGGACGAATGGAAAAACAAGCGACTCTTCCATAGTGTAGTGTCTATGGGAGATCTTAACCAATAAGGCCAGATGCTTCCATTTATAGATTCCACTCAAGGATGTATATTACAAGGAACTATAACATAGAAAAAGGAACAAAGGTCACAGCTAGAATAAACTGTCAAAGTTGAAATCTACACAAGACGAATGACGCTCAATCGTCGCCCTCTCGCCTCAGACAGGAGTTGAAAAGCGGTCGCCTGCCTCCAGTCATCCTCCCTACCCGTATCCACTTCCAGTCTACTCGGGCGTCTGACTATGCGATCTAGTGCCTCTTGCTCTCAGAATCGTTTTGCGGAATCGCTTTGGATACCTCTTTCATCGAATCGGAGCGGTGATGGTGAAAACAGGGTTTTATACAGCAAAAATGCAGCAAAATCATACATGTATACCTCTGACTGAGTCAATGCAACACGGGAAGGGAGTCAATGTTTCATTTCTATCACATTCAGCACGTGAAAAATTCGATCGGATGACGGCAAGAAGAGCGTGTTCGAATCAGCACCGATGAATTGCGGGCGATCGAATCTTCCGGCGCTGAAGAATGTCCCGTCGCAAGGGTTCCAAGGTAAAAATAAAAAAGAAAATAGGAAGAGAAATCAGAGAAATCCTTTTTTCCTTCGTCCTCGCCACGAAACGAATACTTTGACAATTTTAGGAATCCAACGACACACGCCCTTCTTGCCCTCACCCATCGACTCGAATCACTACCGGATCCATGGCACAACTTCACACGTCGTACTCGATCTTGATCTCCGTGACGTTACTCCCCACCCTACGCAAGTCTTCCCACTCGCTCACTTCCGCCATCTTCGTGGGCCGGTGACGGGACACGGCCTCGGCGGAGAGGCTCCCGTCGTCCGTCGCGCTCCCGCCGGGATCGTCCTCCAAGGGCGGAGCTATGCTCAGAGAGTTCTGGGGGGCGGCCGTGATGACCAGCTGGCCGTTGAGGAGGATGGCTCCGCGCTTGCGGCCTTTGCTCGGGTCTGCCACGGTCGTGAAGCCGTTGGTCGTGAAGCCGCTGTAACCCGAATCCGCTTCTTCGGAGCCCCACGTGCACGGCGCAAACGGGGCGCCGTTGTACGTGTGGAACTTGTGAGGTCGGACCGCGCCGAGGCATCTCTTCCGCGCGGGCGTGGAGGCATTCTCCTCCGATTCGATGTGCGGGATGGACAAGGACTTGGGTGGGGATGGCTTCACGAAGGTCCACGACGTCTCCTTCCCCTCTTTCACGTCCTTGCTGGCTTCGCTGCTCGAATCCTCGATCGACTCGACGGCCAGGGAACGCTTGGAGACGCTCAGCCGGAGCTCCTTCGAAGACAGAGGCGTGAGAGGTCTCGACCGCGGAGTCAAGGCCCCCACCGATGGACTCCTTCGAAGGGAATCCCGTCCCGGAGAATCCCTTCCCTTTCCCGAATCCTCGGCGAGACTCTCGTACGTGTTATCGTCTCCGCTGTTACTCCTCTGCAACGTCGTCAGAGATTCCAGACTCCTCCGGGACAGATCTCCGTTGAGGTGATTCCCTTGCGGCCCCAGACGCAACGGCAGCGGTCGATGGGCCGCGGACCACGACTTCTGTCGGACCTCACGGACCTTCCAGTCGTAGCAGATGTTGTCGCCGTAACGACACCGCGGCGCCGTCAAGTGCGTCCCGTGGAACACGGGACGAGCGATCCGGTAACCGACGGAGTAACCCTCGTGGTTAAGGGAGTATCCGTCGGCGGCGCTGGACGTGTGACTCACGTGCGTGTGCGTCGTCCCGCTCTGTTTGCTCAGGTACGTGGAATTCGCGAACGGTGTCCCCCGGTGCTTCTTCACTTTTCCAGTCGTGAGCAGCATGACCCAGCACGACCTCGCCTCCGGGTAGAACACGCACCGCACCACGAAGATGATGAATCCCTGCAGCGAATTCGCGATGCAAAAGAAGTACTGGAACGCCAGGCGTGCCGGTCCGATCGCGAACGCCCCGAACACCCACGTCACGCCCAGCAGCGTCATCACCGTGAACGCTCCCCGCACCTATTCAAAAAGAAGAAGAAACCGTGAGATTCCAAAGATCATGAGACGTCGCGAAACGCCAAACAGATTTAGAACACGGAACAAGCGGTTCCAGAACAAGCGGTTCCAAACGATCGCATTAAAATTCTTGGAAACTATATTTTCCTATTCACTCAATGGTGCAAAGTGGCCTCACACTTCATTCGTCGAGGAGTGTTGTCCTCTTCGATGTGTTTTACAGCTGTTTTACAAATGAAGTGGAACAGTCACGCCTGAAATCATTTTGGGAGAATGAAGAAAAGAGAATCCATCCAGTCCATAGACTCCTTCGCGAAAAGGAGACACCTGCCGCTCTAGACGTGACATAGCGGTAAAAAAAAAAAGAGCTACCAGGGGATTCCTGGAATTAAAAGCCCCAGCTCTTTGTGCTGCAGGTGCTTAACGAACACCGTCATATCTAAGAGACGATCTGTTTTCCGGTCTTCTGACTGGGTTACGACTCAATTCCCCCTTGTTAACAAACATACCTTGTAAGGAATCCACCAGGCCATTTCTCATTTCCCTCAATTTTTTATTTCCTTCCTAGCTCTTTCTTTCATCACTGAAAATGACGACGAAAGATGAAGATTTCTAACACGAGTTACTCGCTTCCTTATGCACAATTTCGATAGTGCTGTTCGAGATCATTTTCCCAATTCCGAAATAAATAATACAAATTCGGACGAATGCAAAAACAAGTTCCTCTTCCTTTGGATTGCAATCCCAAGTCTTGAAAACTCGGTGAAGCTGAAATGGAAAGACACAGACGTTGAAGGAGTCCCAGTCCCACTGCTATTAACTCATTAGCTCCAGCCGGTGAACAAGTCTCGTTTACATGCTACTAGGTACCTCACATAACAATCGAGCCCCCCCCGGGCATTACTCTATTGCATCACATGTCGAGTGGACCTCGACTTTCGGCAACACAGCCCATAACTTCGATATCATGATGCATTCCATATCGCGAACCCACCTGAGCCATGGTGACGTTGGTGCTCGCGTTCCCGCTCCCCGTCACCTTCCCGACCGCCTTGCGATGGAACAGCACCCTCGCCACGAGCACGAACACGATCACGTTCACGGCGAGGATGAGACACGCCGGCGTGAGAAACGTCGTGTAGTACACGTACGGATGCGCCGGCGACACCAGGCAGAAATCCGGGTGCGACCCTCGATAATGCCCCAGGTCCGCCGCGGCCGTGCCCCCCACCACCACCATCGGCACCCCCCACGCCACCGCCACCCTCTTCGCCACGAAATGCGTCTCCGCCGACGCGAACACCGTGATGAGCATCTGGTGCATGTGCACCGCCTCCACCAGCATCCACAGCAGCGACGTGAGCACCAGGTAGTGCACCAGGATCGCCGCCCCCGTGCACACGTCCACGCTCGTCACGTGCGACCGCAGCGAGCTCAGCAGGAACGCCAGGTTCATCAGCAGCAGCGAGATGCACAGGTTCAGGAGGATCTTCCCCGACCGATCTCGATTCAGGGATCTAAAACGTATAATATCTCACTTTTTTGTACTGCGATCGGCTACACACAAGTCAAACATTTCCAACTTCAGTCTTAGAACTACCGCGCAAAATTATCGCAATTTTTCCTTTTGCCTGAGTGGAATTATATCATTTTTTAAATAAATTATATCAGTGCAGCGTCCCTGCCAGCAGATACGTTCAGATCAGTTTTGTATAAAAAGTCTTGATTAAAAAAAATTGCAGTACAGACATTTTAGAATGATTCAAGCGAAATCATCCAGAATATTTACTCATCGACCGTAACAAGCCGGAAAAGTCTAAAAAAGAAAACAGACCTGAACATGGAGTAAGTGAGGACGGTGAGCCCCAGCCCCACGATGCTGAGCGCGGCCCCGATGTACGAGACGAGGGAGAGGGCCACTTGGTGGCCCTCGTCCTCCACGGGCACGGGCCTCGGGTCGAGGAGGACGGAGAAGGCCGTCAGGTGGGACGAAGCGCAGCGGACCCGACCGTCGCTGTCCGATATCAGCGTCAGTCCGTCCGTGGACCAGTCTCGCTCTGGAATGGAGATCGGTCGGGTTCAAGTTGGGAGAATCGCTAGATCCAAATCGACTGGATGCGTTTTTTAAATTTCGCCGTTGAGTTTCTAGAACTCTAACTGTGGGTCGCAAACGAAGGATCATCAAAATGATAATCAGAGTGCCAGCCCAGGTACAGATTTGCCATTCTACTGGTCATTATACCTTTGAAATAATCTTCCTTCGCTCCAATACTAATCATCCAACTTTAAAAACAAGAGCTGTCATTCATACATAGTAGACCCACGTGATTAGTCCCGAACAACTCGAGTAATTCCTCGATGCTTAGCGCGTAAGCGTCGCGTGATGGGAGGAGAGTATCAAGTGTAGAAGTATCAAATGCGGGAAATTCACGAGTTCGGCCAGCAACCCTGTCTAGGCAGTTAGGAGCAGCCACTCTCCCTTTTCCTACTATGGACCCATAATCCGCGAGAGCTGGAAGGGAAGTGAAAGTTTTACTCGTCGACTGACATCCCGATCCAGGCGGAATGCTGCACATGCTCACTGAATCGAGTCGCCCGGTTGCCATGGAAACTGCGGACAAAGGGAATGAAAAAAGGAAGCAAGAGAGTACCAGCCCAGGTACAGATCTAGCATTCCACTGGCCCCTGTACCACTGGATTAATTATATATATTCACCGCATCCTAACCATCCAACCTTGAAATAAATAATAGCTGTCATTGGTTCGGCGTAGGCCTATGTGAAAAGGCCCAGACAATAAGGCACGTTCTCGATGGTTCACGCGTCCGCGGCGCGTGGAGATAGGACAGTATGAAGCGTAGGATGCCAGATACGGCATTTCACGCGTACGCCTAACAACCCTGTCTACGCGGCCGGGAGCAGCCGCTCTCCTCCATTGTCTACTATAGATCCGTCAACCGCCAGGGCTGGAAGGGAAGTGGATATTTTTGTGGAAGACGGGCACCCCGACCCAGCCGGAAAGCTGCGCGTGCGCATTGGGTCGTGTTGTCCGGTCGCTATGGTTACTGTGGACACATGGAATGAAAGAAAAAAATGAAAAAAGTGGCAGACCAATCGCAATATCTCATTTCCCCATAGTACCCATGGGAATGGCAGGTAATAAAAATTGAAGAACTTTGGAAAATGACGGCCTAAGAGCACCTAAACTTCCGTTTCCTGAAAAGGGTCGCCCTCAGAATCCGGACGAAAAGCTAACAAAGGAATCTAACGAGCCTTTGGGGAAATGATCCCAGGAAACATCTGACGAAACCATGTCACGTCCTCCTCAATGAGTGACCTCAATGAGCTCATCGAGTGACCTTAATGAGCCAATGGTTGACCTCACTGTCGATCTCTGATCTTATAAATGCCATCTCGAAAGGAGGAAAACTGACTAGCTGACAGCCAATTGGTTTTCCAATTGGGATTTCTTAATTCCATTTGCTTCTAAATTACTTTGCATTGGGATCTCAGACTTGAATTTAAACTTATTTAAATTGCTTCCTGTGAAACTTCACCACAAGCGATCCCCGGCTTTCGAAGTACAATTACAAGTTTTTCTTCAATGCAAGGCGCAGTGGGAATCGGGCTCGGTGGGTGGTGGCTGAGAAAACTTCCAAAATCGCTCTTCTAGGAAAGTCTCACAGAGCTCAAGTACATCCCAAAGATACCCGAGTCCCTCGGAACAAGTGAAAAGTCCCAGAGTTAACTACTAGGGACATCTCAGGGAGAAATGAAAATGAAGTAATGTGAAAACCAATTTTCAATGGCTTTCCCTTTCTTCAACCCCCCTCCTTCCTCACAGGACTCACTAACATTTGGCCTAGGCTTAACCAACAGACTGCCTCCAGGTTACGCGAAGGCCTACCTTTTTTCATTCCAATAAAAACTCAATTCTCGACTTACGTGGCCAATTAGCCCTATGAGGATGAATCGGTGGTCTTCGTGACATTTCGTCGAGGACGTGTAACGTTAGGCCAATCGCAGGCCTATTCGTACGTTCACGAACCATTTCAGAGAGGACGCGTAACGTTAGACCGATTGGAGGCCTGTTTCGCGTTTCATGGACCATTTCAGTGGGACGTGGAACTTTAGGCCTATCAGGAGTTCCGCAAACCATCTCGAATAGGCCTGAGGAGAGAATGCCTTCGAGAAGCATGCAGTCCTTGGTATACGCCATCTTGCTAATTCAGGGATGTCCGAATAACATATCTGCATATCTCACCACATCGGTCAATGAATGCTAACCACCGCTTCATCCTCGGCTCAACTCATGAACTCGGCACAAAAATGTCTCATGCATTAAAAAAAAAAAACAGAGGATCCAGACGCCGATACGAACGTTGAATCAGTCTTGAGCCCGGCGTAATTTCGGCACGGCATCCGGCAACACTGGGGGATCGAGTTTCGACTCGGGAAAGTCGACCCGTGCGGGCCTCCGGCGCGCAGAAAGACGGGAGGAGCCAGATAAACAACCTTTGCAAAGTAATTTCAGGAATTTTGACCCTATAAGTATCGCCTCCAGGTCATGAGCTTTCGATTGACACCTCATTCATAAAAATCCGTGAATGAATATCATCGGATGACACCCTGGAGTAGGAAGAGAGTGGGACGGTCTCAAAGCGGGAATACCGGCCTGAAATTCCTTTCCCACTCAGCGCATTTGCTAACTGGATCCCTTACCCCTACTCCCTAGAATTGTGGTCATGTGACGTTTCGAGATCGATTGCGTGCACGAAACACGAGAGGGCGTCACGAGCCGGCAAATTCTTCGTACAGAATGAAACCAACCAGTCTTCTGGCGATGGGAACGGATTCGATCGTTCTTGCTCTTGATTCCACGGCCGCAGATTTCGGCCACAACCGGCTCCCGAAAAATCGTCACGCAGGAAAATCCGAGCTTTCGGATGCCGATGAGCCCATCGAACCCCGATCATCCTGATTTCGCTCCAGCACATCCAATTCCCGAAATTTGAATACCGCCGAATGCTTTTAACCCACTCCACCTGCGATTCGCAGGAGTCCCGATGTTATACGAAAGCGGAGTTTCCAATTTGCCTAGGGATTCGAACTTGCGACTTTTGGATTCGGAGTCATATAATCTTGCGCTGCACGACATGTCGCGTGTGAATATTCCTCGCTCTTCCAAGGAGGAAGAAGGTTATTAAAATGAATAAATGTCCGAGAAAACCTTCAATACCAGTTTGCGGCATGGGATGCAGCATTACTTAACTGCGACATCCAGGATCCTAGGAATAACGCCAGTAGGTAGAATTTTTATTTATTTTTTCCATGCTATTCTTGAAGATTCGAACATGCTTAACTTACAGTTCACGTTCCGTCGAAGCATGCAAATGTTGACAAGCAAAAGGTTTTTGGAAATCCCAATAGCTCTTATGATAGACCGCTAAGGCGATTAGGATTAGACCGCTAAGGCGATTAGGATTAGACCGCTAAGGCGATTAGGATTAGACCGCTAAGGCGATTAGGATTAGACCGCTAAGGCGATTTTTGCTGAACAACCCGCTCCCCTCCCAACCTAAACCAATTGCTAATCGCCTCCCCCCAAGAGAAGAAACAAGAGGACGACAAGTGGACGCAAACCTCCAGGTGGAAAGGCCCCATACGGTACCAGCTCGCATCCAAACCGCGCATCTGGAAGCTGCCCAAGCAGCATCGCACGAGAGATCTCACTCAGGATTTCACGACAGACCCGCAGTTCCATGAAGCCGACCCGATTGTTTGAAGACGTGAAAACCCGAGTGCCCGTCACGTCCAACACGGCCAACTCATTCGCGGAATCCACCGTGGATGAGTCTCGACATATTGCCCAGAGGAAAACTAAAGGGAAAATAGCAGGAATTCCCTTCCTATTCTCTTTCAGATGATTTCCCTGCTATTTTGCCTATTTCAATTAGACATTCCTAATAAGGGTGTGTCACGAAAATGAGATCACATCTCAGAAAACTTCTGTGGTACTTTCAAGATGGAAAAAGTAAATTGCATATGTAGAAACCGATGACAAGCTTTAGCGGTTCACTTTTTCCGCATGATGTTGTCGAAGAGACAGGCATTTTTCAACTCTCCGCATACTCTTGAAGAATAATGCAAACTCTGATCAGCAAGACAGTTTTGGTAATTAATTTTATCTCAAGATGTCGGAAGAAATTATTCCAGTTCATCAATATTTCATCAGGTTGAGCTCTGATTTCCATGTCGCCAACGTCTCCTCCAATTGGATTCGCAGTCGTTCGCTTGGAACAGATGGGAACTCAGCATCTGCCTCATTTGAGGCTTGCTCAACTTTTAGGCAGCGAAATACCTCATATACTGCATATCGGGATTGCGTTGCTTAATGATGCCCTTGAGTTCCAACCTTCAGCCACGTCGTTGGTCCGTGGAGCGCCACGGTCGCCATGGCTTCAGAAAGGGCGCGAAGAATGGGGCGCAACTGCCTCCAACCACGTGATCTCCGTGTACTTGAGAAAGGCCGTCACACCTGATACATTGAGAAGCTTTTCTCTTTCATGATACTTTGAGAAGCTTTTTTCGAGTGGCGCCCCGGCATCGTCCAGAAAGCGAAAAGGCACCACACAGCAATGCAGAAACGTAGTCAGGTACACATTTTGTACGTTATGAGGTACAAACGTTGTCGTAAAATACGTTCGTTGAAAAGGTACAGAAGGTACACATGTGTACCTTTCTTATCTCTATTCACA